GCATTTTCTGAATCAAAATGAAATTCGAGCATCTATAATCGTTTATGAAAGTTTCTGCAAATATTGCTTCAGCAATCATTGTTTTGATAAATAAATCATTCACTTCATTCAGTTTTCTAGATTCCATCGAAAATTTCAATTTCATCTCAAAGTCTCGTATCTCTCAGAGTTTGAAGCTTACCCCAGTGAGCGACTGATATTGTGACACTGAATGAGGTACTTCAAAATATCGGCTTTTGGTACGTTCTTGTGGCACTTTGATTGAACGTTGCTGTTTATGCGAAAGTAATAAGGATGACTTCTCGTCGGCATCTTCGTTGTGCTGAAATATTCAAAGGGTGAGGGTCGTAATGTTTTGTTGATTTGAACACTCTTTTACAAACTGTCTAGTTCATGGAACTTAATACTTCCGAAGATTACTGTTAAAAGAATATTTTGGACAATGCACTTTGCGTGAAGTTACGGGGAAAGCGTTGCATGACAGTAGTGAATAGAAAGAATGTATGAATGAAATGAGTCATTAATATGGATGAATATATGAATGTGGTCGTGAAAGATGTGATCCATGAAACATTTACGGTATTCCGGTCACTTTGAGTTGACAGAGAATACAATGAGAGATCAGCTGTTGATGCGATTTAGCCTGATCCGTTTGCAACAGATTCAGGTTTAAGTTCAGACAGAGACTTGAAGTTGGGCCTAGACTTAGGTGAGGCTAAATTAACATTTCCATGTGGGACTTAATTACAGGTATGGATCCTATTTGAACAAGTGGACCCTAGTTGAACCCGGTCGAATTAAAGTACCTTTTCAAGACGACGTTGTAATTTATCGGATTCTCTTTGTGCGAAATAAATTCGAAAATAATCCGAATTCGTTAAACTGTCTTCGTCGTACTCTGCACTGTTCTCGTATTCGTCATCGCTTGCACATCTGAAAATATCGCTGACTTATTGTATGGCTTTCACTCCAAATTTGAAATATACAGTCAGAGCTCGATCTTAAATGCCAAGATTCTGGGATCAGACTCACCGTTCTTCTTCTATATTGATGGATATGTTCACATGTGGAGTGAAAGCAAGACTAGTAATTCAATTTTCTGTGTTAAGATATTGAAACTTTCATTTTTACGTAATTAAACTGGAAATAACTTCGAATTTCAACAGATCAAACACTAACTTCGTAGTGATTATTGATCCTTTATCGTCAACAAAGCTCGCCAACGAATATTTGCGATATCGATTCCTATG